AAATAGCCTGTACACAGACATTGCTTTATTTTTCTTTTCTTTCCTACCCCTTTGTACTGGTGGTCAGTAAATCCCCTGCGGTTTATTTTTTATCACCCGCGCTCGACGGGCTTTGAAAAGGAAATAGAGGGTCTCTGCCAGGCTATCTTAAAAGCAGAACGTTTTCTCGACTCTTTAAAGCCATATCATTCATCTATTAGCCCTATTGGGCCCTTTAACAGACCCAAATGACAGATTTCCCTACCCTTTAATATACTTAAACCAGTGAAATTACTACCCTTTCTTATACATGTATCTAAAGCCTAAAAAAGGTAACCCTTTGCGGAGGAGCCTCCCAGTATAGGACAATATAGGAAAACCCCCGGGTCTGGATTTTTTCAAAGATACTATTCTTAAACATTCTCCTTATTCCAGGCCCGGAAGCACAAAATATTGGCTTTCAGTCCTGAACACATTGAGTGATTCTATAAACCGTCAACAAGTTCACTCCGTTACGAGACGACCGTCATCCTCTCCCCTGAGTTATTTCGAATCCTAGCCTTTCCCCTTGTCTTTAAAACGCTCATCTACCATAAGCATGCTAAAAAGCTGTTTTATTGAAAGGACATGCAGGAATAAAATATATAAAACATTTCAATAATTTATTTTCTGAAAGCAGAAATACGTATTATCAAGTGAGAACAACAGTACAGAGAGGGTAAGGCCTTGCAGTCAGCTCAGCTGGCCCCGCTTTGGGAAAATATGAGAATCATTTCACCAAACGTTATTTTAGGCCAATTAAATGCTGTTGATAGAATACATAGTCTACTCCCTTACAGCTGTGCCAGCGTTCTTTCATCACTTTTAAGTATCGGACCACGCTACCTCTCTATTTCAGTAGAAACTCCTTTTTGAAAGTTTATTTATAATGGTAAGAAACAACATCATTGAATAACGAAGGCAAAACATTCCCCGTAGAAAAAATTGTAATGAAAACTGCCCTCAACACTATCACTTTGTATTATTCAATCCTCAGAGTGCTGGAAATTACGCTTCTGAGAATTTGTTTTTCAATTTTTGTGAACGGAAGCATGTCCCGAGACGGACCCCTAAATTACAGGAGACCTTACATCCCCTCACTACTGCCTTTGTCAAATAGCCAGGCTAATCATGTATTTATTGGATTAATAAATTATTAACATCCCTGAGGTCTATCATGTAAAATCACAGATAATTGGAAATAAATAGCAGTCTTTACAATATGTAACATGCCATCATTAAAATTTTGGGAAGAAATACAACAAGTGAAGTGGACAAATTATAATTTCAATAACCTTGTCCAAACAACAATATTAAAAAAAGAAAAGAGAAAACTAGGAGTAAATTGAAGTATGTTTGATTCCCGGGCGCAAACTCAATAACGTTAAATTAACTGAACAAAGATTTCCATAATACGTTTACTCTCAATATTTGGTGTTAAATCGGAGACATCATATCATACCATTTTTATTCTTATTAAAAGATGGTGATTACAAAAATCGTAAACTTTGAATTTGCAATTTTCGAAAGCCAAGTGAAGAAAATATTCAAACTAGAGTTGTGTATTCATGTAACTTTTGTCCACAGAATTCTTATCATTTTATTCGTTATCACAAAATAAAAATTTCCAAATTTTGTAAACTTCTCGTCTGTGCTTAATCATAAACGAAGGGAGTTGGATTGACTGCAGAACTAACTCGTGCGGCTAAGGTAAAAGTTGGAAATATTTGGATAGACCTAGTTAAGACGAGGAGCGAGGAGATCAGATAACGGCTGTATTCGCAGGTTACTAGAATAAACTTGTTGATGGTAGTGAAACTTGTACTAGGTGCTCAGGACGGAAAGTCAATCTTACACCCATTCAGGTATCATTGAGAGCTGTAAGTAAGAAGTTATCCATAATAAACAAACTGTAAGAGTACATCATTCGATGCCAACTTCTTTATCACAATTAAAATCACCATAGCACTTAGTTTGTTGTCTTTTTTAGTACAGTACAGTCTTCTTAAGACTTAGCCCAAGCCTTACCTAGATTTATCTCTAAGGAGCCTAATTCTAATCTGCTGACAAGCGTCCCCATCACATTCATAGGCGAGTCGTCCCACCCGAGCAGTGTGGATCCATTGTTAATTAACGAGAGTATTTTTAAGAACCAATTAAAGTTTAATGTATGTACCGAAAAGTTTCCGCAACATTAGGGGTCATTTCTCCTCTTATAACTTGTACATCATTTTACTACTGTAAATCCTCTATAAAGCCCTCTCTCTCAAATAATAAGCCCCCCCCCCCATTCAAGGGAACAAAGTTAATGGATCCCCCCGTCTCTTTCAAGCCTCCCTTCCCCTCCCCCTTTTTATTCTTTACTAATGAATGATATACTGTATTAATCAATCACGACTTTTAAACGTCATTTGCACTGGTATCCTGAATGATTTATTCACGTGTTGGAAGTTTGGATTTTATTTTTAATCCTCGGCTTAAATGACCTCCAATTTCTTGTACTTGGGCTTATCCACTTTGCATTCTAGTTTATGGAGAACTGATAAAACCATCTTCGCCAAATCGAATAAGCCCCACCCCCCTAAATAAGGCCTCCGCTCGTTTAGGCTCCCCCTCAAACGTGTTTGAAATAGATAACCACCCTTGGGGGTAGGAAACTATGCAACCGGAATGTTTGTAAGGGACAAAAAGATGCATTCGGCGAGATTTGTCACTAAATCGACTAATTCTTATTTTTTAATTGTGCCAATCACAGGTTGGCTTCTAAGACCTATATTTCGTCTCATACTTAATTTGGTCCTCTATTGAAGGGACACGTCTATTCAGGGGAGAAGAGACACTTTTTCTTGGTTCCGAATCCCGGGTTTAACCTTCATTCAGGGGACACCTTAGCACTCAAAAAGTGACTGACCACAAAAATCCTTGATATGTTAAGGTGCACACGAGTCACAATGGGGACTGCTTTCAAAACATGCATGAACTATCTCACTTAAATTGATGTACTACAGTTGATTCAACACTACATATATAGCAGAGTCAAGTTAATCATGATTTAGCTGCTTGAAATAATGACTGGAGCAGATTCTGACGCAGAATAAAAGAAACATGTTTTCATTGTTCGTTTATATTTACCCGAGCCTATCCTCCGTTCAGGGAACATTTTTACTCAAGGGACACTTGCCTTGGTCCCGAGGGTGTCCCCTGAACTGAGGTTCCAATGTATGCCGGCCCTTAGAGAAAGAAAAAGGAGGCCACTGTATTTTGTTAGGTGGTGATTAAGTCAGTTCTTAGTTAATAAACTATGCTATTCTTGAGGTCCCCCGGCGATCCTGTCTTGTCTATAATGATCTAGTTTATTCGAGGCTGTAATGGAGTCTCGTAATCTGGACTCTCCAAAGGAGAAGCGAAAATTTGACGTCAGAGCACATTCTCTTTCCTTTGTCATGTTATACGACAGCACAGGAAGGTTGACGCGTTACACTACCGTAAAATTCCGAAAATAAGCCCATCCATTTATAAGCCCCTCCAAATGTAAGCCCCCCAATCCGGTAACGCAAAAAAACCCTCCGTTAAATCACCCCTCCAAATATATGCTCCCCGGGGGCTTGTACTTGGAAAATTGCCCTCAAATACAAAGTAAAACAAAGCAATAACGGTAAATTTACTTCCAACTATACAGCTAGCCCAATCCATTTTGAAACGCAAATTTCCCTCTGTAGATAAGCCCCTCCGAATATAAGCCCCTCCAAATATAAGCCCCCTCAAAAAGGGCCTTTGAAAAATATAAGCGCTGGGGTTTATTTTCGGAATTTTACGGTATATAAGGGTAAGGGACGGACATATAAGGGTATCGACGGAGGTTATATTGATAGAACTGTGCTAAAATCTTAGTCTAAGGGACACATAGCTGGTTCGACATTGTAGGACACTGGAATCCCGGGCTTTGGAATCCGGAATACAGCCGAAGGAATCCGGAATCCTACTAACGATTGGAATCAGAATCCAAGATCCACTGACAAAGGCCGGAATATCACTTGTTAATGTAAACACTACTGTCCTTGATCCTACTGAAGAAAGCGTCCCTGGCGGGATCACATTGCCCGACCGTGAGTTCGCGACTAAGGAATTCCCCCATTCTTCTTGCCGCTTTATAGCCAAATTCATTTCACGGGTGCTTTTGTGGTCCTTGGTAACGGTCGTGCGCAACAAACTTCGTCAGCTAAGCAGACTACTAGTATAATTAAAATCAAAGTGAATCAATCAAGTAAAGCCAGTTGTTTTCGGGTGATATCAGTGGGATTTTTCATTGGGAAGCACTTGACCCAGGAGACTTTGCCTTGTCAAATTCCCCCACCCTTGGTGGAAATTGTTAAATTTGCACCGCCCATTTTAGAATCCCGCTAGTTGGCCAGGAGTCCTACCCCATGCCCCTCAGGGGGAAGTCGATGACATGCGCATTACAGTTATATAATCAACATGCATGTATGAGTTATGTAGAAAACAATTACCAGTTGCATTACCTGGTCACGGCTGTGCCACTCGAAAACCGCACGATTCCGAAAAAATCTTAAATCTTCAAAAAGACAATTATTCAGCGACCTATTTACTAAAATATAAAAGCAAGTCTTTCGCAAAAAGGACAAATAGCCAACAATGTTACGCTAAGATATTAACTACAAATACTGATATCTAAGTTATTAAATTGTATTCTTCTTACAACTACCCAGTTAGTACTATGTTTTAACTGCAATTACCTTTTTGTCTGGATGTAAATTGTATTTTCCACTATTCATACCTCACTGTTATGTAATTTAAGTATTCTTTCATACAAATACGCGACTACATTGACACTCAAATAAAAAGTGCATTTTTATACAATTCAGTAATCAGGCCAGTAATTTCAAATTACGAGCCCGAATAACAGCAGGAAGTTCCTACAAACTGCGAATTTTCAATCATGTTGCATACCGTTTATTTTACAATTAAGAAATTAGATCGAATTCCTTCAGTTCATCGATTATCTCCTGCATGGTTGGTCTCGCCCCACGCTCTCTTTGAATGCATCGCCGCACCAGGCCACGAAACACACCGTTCGTTACCAGCACCACTTGTTCGTTACGCCTTTGAGGATCTGGAAGTTGTCGGATGCACATTTCGCAAAGAAGAGCACCAAAGCTGTAGACATCAACCTAACAACAATAAAACATAATTTGAGGACGTCAATATTGTTAAAAAGAAATGTACTTTATTTGAGTGTCAAGGTTTTTAGCACGAAAGTAGTTATTCGGGACAATATTCTCAGTTACTGTAAGACCCTGAGTATTGGTCCGACCCCGGGAATCGAACCGCGACCTTCCGCTGGGCAGTCAAGCGCTCTACCGATTGAGCTAATCCTGCCGCGGTTGGTAAACATCCATCGAGGTTTGGTTTTTATTACATGCGTCGTAGACGTAATCTAATCCCGGTTATTAATGTCTGCGAAGCAGCGCCGATAGGCCTTGTTCTGGCCCCTATGGACTCAACGAATTACCGGAAGTTTGAAGTTTGAAGTTTGAAGTATTGCATGGTCCATAATTGATCTAATACAACTAGAGTAGAAGAGCCCTAAATTAGTGCGAGTAACCTTAGCTCTCTTAAGTTGTACCAACAAATATATTCTCTTAGAGGCCTTCTTAAGAAATTCATTAATATGGATATTCCAGGTGTTTCGAATTTCCTTACAAAATGATTGGTAAATTGGCTATGGCTCGTTTAACAGGCCAATCATGGTGCGTACTAAAATCCTGGTACACAGGTGGAGGCCTAGAACAAAGAATTTGGGCGCTGTTTCGCAGACGTTACTTACTGGCCGGGGTTTGATTACGTTACGTCTGCGGCCCAGGCTAGATTTTCATTGCAGGGACATTATTCGGGGCAGTTGTTCACCCCAGCTGAACTGAGTCCGCTGAGACCCAAACCGGAAAATTACAGTTGCCGATAAACACTGAGGTCCATTTAGAGGTACAAAAGCTCTTTAATATGAGAATCTATGAGCGGAATTTAGATCAAAAATAGCGATTATACGGGGACTGTAGGCAGACAGAAAAAACCCTTTTCGAATAACATTTTTCTAACCTTTATCAAGAAGGATTTTATGCCTGTATACACCAATGCATGCCCAAGGGGACAACTTTTAGGCGTTTCGTTATTTATATAATCTACATTTTGTAGTGACTAAGGGCCTGTTTACATGGAGTGGGGGACCCCGGTCTAGTGGGGTTGGCTTCTTTTGTTTTCACGCTCTGGGGCACACAAAACAAAAGAAACCCACCCCACTAGACCGGGGTTCCCCACTCCATGTAAACAGGGTCTTAATAGACCTATTCGGCTAACTCAATGTTGTACCCAATTCAAATCTCCTGAGGTTAAGATTCTTTGTGTATTGTATTTGCATTATAATGTGGCATTCACATTTAAATGATATGGAAATTCCTGAAACAAAACGTTTTATCCCCAAAGGGTTTGAATTGGGTACAACATTGAGTTAGCCGAATAGGTCTATTTCTTAAAGCTGCACCAGAACCAATTCACTAATGAGATTGTCTAAATGAGGTTGACTGATAACTTACCAGGGTAGGGAGGGAGGAGAATTCGAGCACGCGAAAATGCGGTCAGAGCCCGAGGGAGCTCTTAGAAGGGATGATTGAAATTTCGCAGTTAAAGAGCACAATTAAGACCAGATTTAGGTGCACAACGATGGGCTTGGTTAATTTTAAACAATGAGCTAAATATGCGTGCAGTAGCGAAACCACTGCCAAAAATGACAGATACTTGACTAATTTTCAACAAATATACATGTATCTTAATATATAGATTTACCCAGGACTAAGAGCGAAGCTCTCGATGATAATATTTATAGTTTGTTCAAACAAAATATAAAATCTGGTAATGCTAAGCGGCGAAGACAACGCCTGAGAACGGTGAAAGACAACCGTAAGTCTAATTAGCAAAAAAGCAACTTTGCACATGCAGCACACTTTTTTTGTACATTTCTTTGCAGTTGCTTTGCACAACTACAACGTGAAACTTACTGAAACCTCTTAGTCACACGTTTTATTGAGGAAATGTCATACGTTTTCTCGTTCACTTTTTTTCTCACTGCCGCTAATTTCATCTTGCATTGGTGACCGCTGGCATTTCTCATTTTGTCACCACCGCTTTCGTTGGAAGAAAATTCCAACAAAAAAATGTCTTCTTTGTTTTTCATCTCTCGCTCTAGATCTCTGTCGCTGTATTTCTCGTTGAGCTTCGCTGGCCTGCCGCCTACTTTCTCTTTTTCTCTGTCTTTCTCTTGCTCTATATTCCAAATTTGTGGACATGACAGTTATTCTGAGCTTAATACTTTAGAAAATACGGATACAGAGACAATTTCCCCTTTTCGACTCTTTAGTTGTCTCTGCTTCACAAGACGCGGGTGGCTATGCGAGTTGCATTTGGGTTGCCATACCTGTTTATTGAGTTTTTTTACATTGGTATACCTGTGGTGCGGACGGACGGTCGTTCGGTCGGTCGGTGTACGATCACGTGATTACCAAATTCTCTTGGATGGGTAGTTTACCAAATTTTTTTACCCATGGTGCTCCGCTGCGCGCGCTTCGTGCGCGAGAGCACCGCTATGATCAATTTTGATCATTTGTGTGCAGCTTTCTTTTTATCCCAGCTGCATGTGTTTGACAATTTCACACTTGACCTTACAAGCGAATGATCATATTGAGTATATTGAGGTTTCTCGGTCTTTGTGCGGCTTTGAATTGCATGGTGAGATATCAATGACAGTGGTCTTAAAGCTGCTTATAGTCACTTCACGTCAGTCAGTAGAAATAGATCCTGACACTCGGTTATTCACGATACGATCATGATTGTGTTACTAAGGCACCAAGGAAGAGCATAAGAATGTTAGCCGGGCTGATCAAATTCAGTTCGTAGGAAACGAGTTAAAAGTTGTTTCTTTAGATCAACTGTACTAACGTCAAGTAGTTTTGCTGCTCGTCAAGTTGTAGAATAATGAAAGTTTTTTTTTTAAATGATACTTTGATACACAAGCAAGATAAAACGAACGAACGACGTTTCAGTGTCGTCATGACGCTAAATTTCAAGTTCACACAATCTTGAAACTAAGCTATCAGAAATAGCTGCCTAACGATTAACGTATAAAATTATGCAAGGTCATACAAATAGTAGAAGCGTACTTACTCTGGTAAAGGCTTTCTACACGAGCCCTATACTTACTGTAAATTAAAGCTTACTGTATGGGCCTCCCCAAAGAAAAAATAGCTAAGTTGCCACGCGTGCAAAATGCTGCCACTAGATTATTAAAGGTTTTAGGAAGTATTCTCACATCATTCTAGTACTTTACGAGTTACACTGGCTACCAGTGCAAACGCGCATACATTTCAAGATTCTATTGTTAATTTTGAAAGCCATTCACGGCATCGCACCTGCACATATCAGCAATATTTTCCCTGTGAATTATAGGTTCTTGTATAATCTTAGTTCCACCTCAGGCATTTTATTAAAAGTAGGATGATGGAAATACTAGGCGGGCGCGCAATTCAGGAAGCAGGGTCGCATTTGTGGAACAAGTGTGGATTGTGAATATTACAAATGAGACTAGCCCGCAGACTGAGGAGGGTGGGGAGAATCCTATTATAACTGCTCACTATTGAATTTGTAGAAATTTTCAAAAATTCAATCAACGCATTTCTCTTTGGCAATTTTGAGGTGGTGGTTAAATCCATGAACTTTATACAGCTTTTAAGGTTTGCATTATATCATATTATTTATTTTCTTAAGAGTTGTACATATTGAAATTGGTTGAAAAACAAGGGTCGATTTTACTGCACGAAATGTTGCTAATTAGGGAACTGACGATGCCTCTTAATGTCCAGTTGGACTCAATTCGAGCCAAAATATTTGCGTCACATTGATTAATTTTTACTCGTTGATCTTCAGCCAACTTCCTGGTAGTTTATAGTAAAAATTTAATGGCTTCATGACGACGCCAAAACGTCAAATGATTTCATCTTCATTGCTTTTTGTCTCTTTACGTATTAGAAAACCCTTGCTAATAACATTTTGATAGGAAATTTGGCCAATTTTGTATGTAATACAGTCTTTCCTAATAAATTAACTTAAAGCAGAAGCATCCGCTAGCCATTCTGTCAATTATATCAAGGAATATGCTCAGAGGGGCGGAGTTCCCCTTAAATGGTAACATCCGAAAATTTGGTTCCTGGAGAGAGGCCATAATCCAGAGGGGCCATTTATAGCAAGTTGCTTGGTTTAAAACAGTCTGTAAAGCAAGAAATTCTTCTAACAACGGGCAGGTAAGTTTTAAGGTGTTTTAATTAAGTATAAAATTCATGGCCACGGGATCGGTCACTTGAATGAATAATATGCTGTTTTAGACAATGAACAAGAGGTTAGGATAAAGAAGACTTAATTTTGAAAAATTTACCACTTTACCATAGTTAAGAAATTTTAAAAGGAAAAAAGAATCATAATAATGATAGTAGTGATATAGGGTTATTTTACTCTTGTTTGGTACCTTCCCCTGCCCTCCGTATGCCTTCTCTTTATTAATATGTGTAAGTGTCGTCCTGCATACAAATTTAGTTCCTTCCTGTATATTAATTATGTGCCTAAAAATGTGTTCCTCCAAACTAATTAAGTGCCTACTTCCATTTGTAATGAGCGTTTCTCTACTACAATAGGCACAATAGGCTTGCCCGGTTCTTTTTAACCCTGATTGACTCTTGTAGGACATATGATTTGTTCAACATAAAAGCGGGTAGATTTCGAAAGCGCTATCGTTCTTGCAATGGTTTTTTTAGGAGCAATTTGTTCGAGTTCGTGTGTTTGAGAAAACGTTTATTAACTTTTTATCACCATGGCCTTTATTACCAACGTTGATGAGCTTCAAGCTCTTTTGGACGCTTGTCCCCAGACCCTAGAATGGGAACTTTTGATCCAGTCTATTTTAATTCCCGCTGAGTAGATCCCAGTGGCGTATGCTCGGCTATTGGAACTAACAGCCGGAGAGATTACTTAGCAACGCGAGAAAAGGCTTACTATATCTTTTTTAGCGCTCAAAATCGGATATATAAACAAACCACATACACAAAGTGGAGCTGAAAACTCTCTATGTCAATTTAGCTTATGTCTTCTTATTATTTAGCGCTAAAACTTAGATATATAAACAAAACACACACACATACACAAAGTGGAGCCTAAAACTCTCCATTTGAATTCTGTCTGACTATTACAAAACCGCTTTCTGCTTTCTGTCTCGAGGAAATGAAAACTATTAAAGTCTAAGCGTTTCACCTGCCAGTAGTCAGTTAATTATGCGAGTTAACAAGCCCACCGTTACATACAAATTAGTTCAGCTCTGCAGTAAAAACCCCCAGGGACTGAGAACTTTGACGTATTATTATAAAACCCAATAACTTAGAAAGGATCAATCGTTAATGTTGAGAACTGATGACTTGACTTTTAAATGGACCCACGTTTTACCTGAGGTGTCTTTTCAGAGGCATTAATCACAGGTAGCCCAAGCTCGAAATATAAGCGTCGGTAAGCATCGGCATTGTTGCGTAACATTCAAAATATAAGGATTTGTATGGGAAAAAAACCTATCGTTTCCGTAACCTACGAAAGTGAAAGGATTTCAAGAAAAAACAGCTTACCTTACTTAAAATGTGTGTTACGTCTCTCCTGTGTGGTCCACCGGCCGATTTATGGAGAGACGTAACACACTTTTTATACAGCTAATTGAAAGGATTTTTCATGTTGCTATTCTGATCCTTTCAAATGTACTATATATTCTATTTCGATAAAAGGTTTATGCTTTGTATCATCATTCTCAGCTCAGTAATAAAAGTGGCCCAGTTCCTGTCCTCCCAAAACCGGTTTGTCCTGAAAAACCGGTATTGACCCTCCCACATGCTGAGAGGGCGCCATTTTGAATAAATCTCGCTTAGTTATCTGACCTAGACTACTGCCGTACGGGGCAAGGCCAACAAGTAATCTCTTATGCTGGGGCTTATGGTAGACTCACTGGAACAGTAGGCTACTCGAGTAATATATAAGTAATATTTTAAGATCACTAGAAAATTAAAACTTAAGAAGTCGTGAAGCTCAGTTATGCGGTTTATCTGTTCTTTTAATCGAGTAGTAAACCGCCAAAACATTCCACTTTTCCTTTAAGTGCTTGAGTAAGGTTATAGCATCGTCGGAAATCTAGCAGGTTCCCAGGCCGCTGAAATTTGATTTTCTTGAAGAAGCAAATTATGGTCCAAATGATGTTTGGCGATCGATCGACTCGGGTGAATTAAGGAATAGGTCTCTAGAAATTTGTGAGGGGGTGGTCTAGTTTAAAGGAGATTCAACTTTTCGACTTGAAACTTTGCATGCGGTAAATACTTTTTAAAAATGTTCTTATCCGTTGTCACTAATAAGCTGTCTTAGTCACACGACTTGTCACACCCATTTTTGCCATTTAGTTGGGTCCAATTTTACAACATTTTACAAATACTAGTTGTGATTTATTTTGGTTTTTTTCAATGACTATTAACACAAGGTTTATGGAATTAATCGGGGTTTTTCGAAATTATTTGTTTTGAGTGAACTATAACGTTTCCAGTTAAGAGTGGGACTGGGTCGAGGAGAAAACATTTGATAATTACATAGGAATAAAATATTTTGCAATTTCCCGTTTAATTTGACTCATTTGACTTTAAACTTAACACCATGGAAAAATAAACGGAAGCTTCAACAGTCATTTTCATGGCGTAATCTGAAAATATTTAATTTTGCATAATTATAGGCGTGGCTGTTCAAGTGACCTTAAGTGGCACAGTGTGAGCTCCAAAAATGGTCCAATCTTAAGCATATGTGTTTAAGTGATGAAATGAAAAGAGATGGCAGACAAAAAAAAAAAATGAAAGAAGCCCAAAATACTATAGCCAGGAGCTATGCCTTAGTTGTGTCTGTTAATGATTTTAGCTTCTGGAGCCATTTCGAGGCCGTTTCGGAGTTGTACCTATTCTCCTGCTGATCAATAATAATAATAATAATAATAATAATAATTGTAATTATAATAATAATAATAATTATTATTATTATGTCTTTCTTTTTTTCGATACAATACATATCAAATGGTACACAAATTTTAAAAAGGATTAAGAAACGGTCCAGATAAGAACGATAGCAACAACGGCAACGAACTTGTTAGAATGCAAAAAAGGTGCTAACTTTTCTATTGTCTGTACTTACTTCTGACTAGCTTAAACAGCAAAAGTTAACAAAAGTTCATAAAGCAGTACATATATTCATCCTTACTTTCCAACCATCTTCCATATAACAAAATCTGGTCTCAGTTTGAATAACAAAGAAATCCTATGTGGGGAACATGTAAAATTGTAAACGTTTCTTGGCTATTGTTTTCAACTCTTGTGATTAGTCAATATCTTTTAACACAAAAAAACACCCTTTCAAAGTGGAGTGTAAATGCATTTTATTGCGTAAACGGCCTTCATGTAGGTTTATGCATTCTCTGTGTAAAAATGAGAACATTCCTATGTGTGGAAAGCACCGTTGCCGCATAACAAAAGAAACTGCTATCCACCTTACCCGGATCATTACTTAATTAAGGAGCTTACAGTAAGAATTTCTCATAGTGTTCAATTGTATTTGAAACTAAGCCTATTTAAAAAGCTACTTTTAAAACGTTCACCTTTATCCTAGATAACTGACTAGATTTTTTTTTTAATCTAAGGACCCTTTGGCTTGGGGCAACATAGGGTACAATGGGTGAGAACTGTCGCTTCTAATTTTCTTGAAGAGTTTCCTATCACATTTGTACAAGAGCTAGCTAAGAGCTCGTGGATATTATAAATTTTTGAGGAGTAGCGCCTCTTGAAACATCTTTTCAGGAAGCATTGTACTGTATTTAAATCCGCTTGGCATGTGCCATAAATAAAAGAAGAGCATACACTCTTCTTGGAAGAACGAGCCTTTAAAAGATGATCGATTTCGTCTTGGCTATAACCCTATTTCCTAAGTTCTCTTATTATGTAAACAAGCTTGAACACATTCGTTCGCTTCATTTAGTTACGTTTAACAAATGCTTAGCAAATATATCAATTTAAATCCTAAACCAACCACCTGTCTTACTCTCAATTTGGCCCTGTTTTCGAAGCACGGTATGTTTAGTGCATTTCTTTGCTTTTTAATATAATTGTTGTTGTACTCAGTCTCAGCCAGCTTGTTATACCCAACTCGTGTTCCGCAGTCCGCAGTCCAAGTTTATATTTGTCAAAAATATATTCTTTATATCTGTTAAACCCACTTTAAGATAATGCATTAGACTGCTAGTTCGCCATTTGGCTCCCACTGAACCTTAACATCCAAATGAAAACTTGTTGCTAAGACCCTAAGTTCAGGAAATGACAATATCCTGGTCTCATTTCGCTTTTCTACACGTAAGCAATAAAAACGAAACTTTAATGTACTTGATATTAAACTTACTATTACATGAAAGAAGATCATCGCAGTTATAGACGAAACCCTGCAAAAATTCAGGCTTGTACGGGATTCGAACGCTTGACCTCTGCGATACCGGTGCAGCACTCTACTAATTGAGCTAACAAGCCAACTGGGAGCAGGTCGTTGAATTGGTTGGTATATTAAACCCGTTGAAGGATGATAATGATGATCATCATATTCCTTTCAAGGTTTAATACCAACCAATTCAACGACCTGCTCTTAATTGTCTTGTTAGCTCAATTGGTAGAGCGCTGCACCGGTATCGCAGAGGTCAAGGGTTCGAATCCCGTACAAGCCTGAACTTTTTCAGACTTTCTTTTCACAACTACAAAAGTTGCGTCTATAACTGCGATGATTTTCTTAAATACAATTCTTGTTCTCATATATGATTATCATATATACATAACTTCATTAAACCTATTATTATTGTAACTTAAGCATGTAACAAATTTCTATATATTATTTGAGCTTAAACTTGAATCTTTCATGACTTAATTACTTTGAAAATGAAATTTGTTCCACAACAACATGAACAAAAACAATAATCCAAGTAAGTTAATTTTAAAGTAGAAATTAAGTAAAATTATTTTCACGCCTCTTTTGGCCAAGTCTTATTTTCTAACAAACTACACGTGCTTTAAGTCTTGTTATTTACGTTAGCGCAAATTCTAGGATGAGTGGGCCTCCACCTCATGGACCGCCACCCCATGGACCCCCACACCATGGGCCTCCACCGCATGGGCCTCCACCGCATGGGCCTCCACCGCATGGGCCTCCACACCATCCACCACACCAAGGGCCTCATCCCCATGGAGATCACCACCCTCCACCACCTTAAGAACAAACCCTTCCCAGGTAAGTTGGAAAAGTTGTTTAATATATATATAATATTATTGTTATTTGTGAATGCCATTTCCTGAGGACGGTTATGCAATACTGGTAACATTCATCATTTGGAACACTTGGATTCGGGTAGCTTGTGTTAATGATATAATTCAATGTTAGTACAAGGCTTAAATTTCGTCTGTAACACAGGTTTAAAATTGCTAAAAGGTTTACATCGTAATGATAGTCTTTGGTTTGCATAGTTATCTCAACGAACATTTCAAATGTCACTCTTGTAGGTTAGGAACTATAGCAATACCCTGATTTCACGTCCATAATTTTTCATCATTTGCAAATGTTTTCAAGTACTATATCCGGTTGGAAAGTAAACGGAAAACGGGTGATGTCAGTGAAACGTTTTCGAAACAAAAGGAACTTCTGTGTAGCGGTTGGGTTCCCTGTTTTGTTTTTTCCTCCCTTGTGTTATCAGACCTTGTCTTTCGCCCTTCTTGTTATGCTTTTGGCAAGTGTTTGCACGGCTTAGGAAAAAAAAAACCGACATTTCGCGACGCCACCATTGATACCAGTTTCAGGATAGTTTGTAGGTGCTTTTCAATAAATCGGACTGATTTGTACAAATGCTAAACGCGTTTGCCAAACCGTTGAAAGTTACTATATAGTCCTAGCCGAGCTTAGGTAACGACAAAGGTGACATCCCGTACGTCAAAAGTAACAACCATAAGTCTTTCTTTTTTTTTAATTGTTTGACTCGATAACGTCATACTACAGTAATTAAAACAAAAACTTTCAAACTTGTTATGTCATGTAGAAGTGTTTCATAGAGCGCACTGAAGACAAACAACTGGTTGTCATTCATGACGCCCGCGACGTAATAGTTGCTTAGACTCCCTAATTTTACAATTTTCCCAAATCGTGAACCGACTAGTTTGCCCGTATAACCTTGAGGAAGTAATAACTGTCACTTGCTAAGTTAAATTATTGTCTTTTTTTCTTCTATTTTTGTTTCTTCTATTTTTGGAAGTAGCAGCAGAAGCATCAGTGATTAGTGCTTTTAGTAAAAGTGGATAGAAATGGCGCGTCATATTGTTATTCACTACTTTAGTTTTTATGACAGCCTTGATGATTAAGAACTATAAGAACTATAACAAGAGTAGTGGTGCTCAATAATGACCTGAAAAATACTTTTGCTTTTTGTTAAACTTCAACAA